TGTGCAGGAGACCATAGAGGTTTTTACAATTGTTCAAATGAGCTAAAATGTTAGGGAACAACAGTAATAATGGAGAGAGGTGAGAGGGCTTTAGAGACACTTAGGAGGCTGGGGACAAGCGGCAGACCATACAGACTTGGGGGATTTTGAAGTGTGTTTTTAAAAAAGCTGAAAAGAGAGAATTGAATCCCTGGTGTTCCTGAGAGGCAGAAACTGGATTCAAGGCTTTTAATCTCTGTCTAGGAATGACTGAGGCTGTGGTCTAGGGTGTGTGAACAGAGTGAGAAGTGTGCTGAATGAGGCCAGACCACAGACATGCCCCTCTTCATCCCTCAGATGCCTCACCTGAATCTGGTGTCTGTCCCCTCCCTCCCACTCTGGAGCTCCCTGGTCACTTTGATTAGAACTGTGTTGGTAGAGGGAAGAGACAGACACCAAACTGCATGCACTACAGAACTCTGCAAGACAGAGCCCCACCCTAGGGCTAGAGACAAGCCAGAAGTTGGGAGCAGAAACGAGATAAAGGTGGGCATTTCAGGAGGGTGAACTCTGCAGTGGCTGTGGGTACAGAAGTAGGAGTTACATTTTTTGACATGCTGGTGTAGTCATGTACCACATAGGACATTTCAGTCAATGGCAGACCACATACATAATAGTGATCCCATAAGAGTACATAGCCTGGTAATGTGCTAAACATCTTTGTATAAGCACACTCTGTGATGTTCAGACAGCAACAAACTCTCCTAAGGACATATTATCGGCATGCAGTACTATTCCCATTGTTAGGTGACTGGTGATTACTTAAGAAAAAGTTTTAGAGGTTGGGGATTTAGCTCAGTGGTAGAGCGCCTGCCTAGCAAGTGCAAGGCTCTGGGTTCAGTCCTCAGCTCCGAAAAAAAAAGAGACAAAATAACAAAAAAGACCAAAAAGAAACCAAGGCAACTAGAAAAAGTTTTAAAAGATTTAAATGCCTTTAATCCCAGCACTCAGGAGGGGAGGCAGAGGCAAGCAGATCTCTGTGAGTTCAAGGCCAGCCTGGTCTACACAGTGAGTTCCAGGCCAGCTAGGGCTACAGGGAGACCCTGTCTCCCAATAAAGAAAAAAAAGAAAAAATATTTTTATTTTATGTATATGAGTGTATTGTCTGAAGGTCAGTACATCTGTGTTGTGCAGTGCCCATGAAGGTCAGAAGAGGGCATGGATCCCCTGGAACTGAAGTTAAGGATGGTTGTTACGGTGTTATGTAGGTGCTGGGAGCCAAGCCCAGGCCCTCTGCAAGAGCAGCCAGTACTCTCAATTGCTGAGCCCTCTCTCCAGCCTCGTTATTCTTTGAGATAGGGTCTTTCTGTAGCTGGCCTGGAACTCACTGTGTAGACCAGGCTGGCCTCGAACTCACAAGAGATCTATCTGCCTGCTTCTGCCTTCCAAGTGCTGGGATTAAAGGCATGCGCCACCATGCCTGGTATTTTTTAGTAAATAAGACACAGACATTCAACTATCTCTCTGAGATCAATGATGGTATTACATACCTTGTGGCTGGAAAACTGTCCTATGTTCTCAGGAAGGAGGTTTCAGAAAAGCATATGGTATCTTAGACAAAGTTTCATCAAAGAGCACCCCATAAAAGCTACTGTACCCATAGGCATCCTCATGATCAGTCCAACATCTTTTTATTGAATAAGTAAAACAAATCCTGTGAGTGGTCTGTTTTGAGTGTTGTGGTCTTTTCACAAGAAAAGGCCACTCAGACAAAGTTTTGCCGAATGAAAGTCATTACTGGCCAGGGCTACAACACAATAGTGTTGGAACCCAAGTGTATAGCACTGAGCCATCTTTAAGGTAAGCTTTTATACTGAGTTCCCAAGCTTACAGGTAGAGAGCCCCTTAACAATTTCTATTCTATTAATAATTACTATTTTGCAGAAGCAAGCCATGCATAACCTACAAAAGCCATAAATCTGCAGTTAGCAGGTACCCTCTGGAACATTCTGATCTGTTCCCAAGACAGCCGGGGTCCAGCTGACATGTGTTCCCTTACCCTGGGCCAACTGCCTGATAATTTCAGAGGCTAGTGTCAGCCTAAACTTTTAACATGGCGTAGTTATGGTCAAGAAGGTGCCCTCTTGTTGTGCCCAGTTCGCGAGACCCCAAAGACCACCAAGGAGCCAACTGATGCAAACACACAAGGGGTTTTTTTTATTATTGCAAGCTTAAGCTTGGGCCCACTCTGTCACTGACCCAGCGGATCTCAGATGTGAGACCCCTTGCTTTGGGAGACAGGGGTTTTTATAGGTTTATTTCGGCAAGTTCAACAAGTAGGGGGTCTCCAGCCTGGCAAGCATCTGATTGGTTGCAGCCCAGTGCCAAACCATAAACTGCTGCCTTCAGGAAATCTGAAGAGATATCTGGGCTTTTAGTACTCTCCTGTCCCTAGTTAATTGACCGTTGGCAGGGGAGTTGTTCTCTGTTCCAAGTATACTTTTTTTGTGCTTTTTCCTGGAACAGGGTTCAGGGCTGGGTCAGTCCCATGGAGGTTTTATCCAAGATGGAGTCACTCAGGTATCTCACTATTAGAGCTCAGATTCTAAAAGTTAGTGGAAATGGTGGGAGAATTTCCAAAGCCTGTTTCATTCTTGATCCACTACCAGTTCCATAAACCAACCACAGTATTTTCCCATTTGGACTTCACCTATGCTTGGGTACTTTCTTTCCTCCAGTATCTGGATAACTTTGTAATACTTCAGGCTAGACTCTACCTTCTTCAGAAGACTCCAGATCATCTCCTACCCCAGAGGAAGTGTTCTGTACAGTCTATGCCTGGCCCTAGGCTGCCTGGCTGTCTTATAACCTCACACAGCTCATGAACTCCTTGGCTTGCAGCTGAGTTTGATTCTTCTCCTCTAGCACCCAGCACACAGCTTGCATCTATTCACTATTTCCTGAATAGTGAGCACTCATAAACAACAGGCTGCATCTGTTCCCCAAGTAAGAATTCTTGTTTGTTTTTATGGTACTGGGGGTTGAACCTAGGACTTCATACGTGTTAGGCGAGCATTCTACCAACTGAACTATGTATCCCGAGTCCCCCAAATAAGAATTTTATTACCTCTATAATACAGTTATAAATAAAATCAAAGAAGATGGCTAAACACATACAATTTCATCAAGAAATGTTTAACATAGGGTATGGAGAAATGTCTCAGGAGGTAAGATCATTTTGCTGTGAAAGCATGAGGACCTGAGTTCAAATCTCTGTACCCATATAAAAGCCCAGGTTGGCCACATATGCTTATAACCTCAGCATTGCGGGGGTGGTGGGTAGAGACAGGCATAGCTCAGGAGCTTGCTGGCCAGCCAGCTTTGCTGAACAGCGAGAAGCTTTAGGTTCAGTGAGACCCTGTCTCAAGAAATAAAGTGAAGTAGGCTGACTAGATTCCAGTGATGAACTTGCACCAACAGGGATCTGGGTACAAATGCTTGACTGGATAGACCTTAACATATAAGACAGAATGACAGAATACATGACATCTGGTGGTGGTGGGTGTCTAAATTTGATTAAGATCTATTACATGAAATGCACAAAACTCAATAAAAATATACATTAAAAAATAAAGCTGCTAGGTATGGTGACGCACGCCTTTAATCCCAGCACTTGGGAGGCAGAGGCAGGTGGATCTCTGTGAGTTCAAGGCCAGCCTGGTCTACATAGTGAGTTCCAGGACAGCTGGGGCTACAGGGAGACCCTGTCTCAAAAAAGAAAAAAAAGACCAAAAAATAAAGTGGAGAGTGATAGAGGAAGGCACCCAACATCTTCCTCTGAGGTCCGCTTATGTGTGAATGAGTTTGTGCACCTGTGCCCATCCATGTACACACCACACACATTCATACACATAGACACACAAAGAAATGTGTACCATGAAATAGTTTGTTGGGTGTTTTACACTTCTAAAAAGTTACTGCGGCATTTGCCATCATTTCCAACCACAGAACACGCACTTAGGCACTTCAGCCTATTTGCAGAATACTTTCCTCTGACATAGACCCACACATACATCTTGGGTGCCTCTTAAACTATTGTCTTATCTGGATGGATGGATGGATGGATGGATGGATGGATGGATGGATGGACATATAGATATCGTGTGAATGTGTGTGGCTGTGTTTATCTGTGTGTGTATATGGCAGCCAGAGCTCGACATCATGTATCTTCCTCAGTAGCCCTCTGTCTTCTTTTTGAGACTGCTCTCACTGCATCTGGAGCTGACTGTTCTTGCTAGACTGGCTGGCTAGCACACCCCTTAGGGAATGCCAGTCTTCACCTCACCACCCAGTGGGGCTACATGGGTGTGCTGCAATGTATAGCTTTTGAGACAGGGTCTTATGTAGTCTAGGCTAGCTTTGTACTTACGTATGGCCAAAGCTAACCATGAATTCTTGAACCTCTTGTCTGTACCTTCCAAGAGCTGGGATTACATGCATTTACAACCAAGCCTGGCTTTTTATGTGGGTGCTGGGGATCCAAACTCAAGTCCTCATGTTTGCACATTACTAAGCCATCTCCCCAGTGCCCTATTATTAGTGCGTGTGTATGTGTGTGTGTGTGTGTGTATTTTCTTTTTTCTTTTTTTTTTTTTTTTTTTTTTTTGAGACAGGGTCTCCCTGTAGCCCCAGCTATCCTGGAACTCTCTATGTAGACCAGGCTGGCTGGTCTACATAGATCTGCCTGCCTCTGCCTACCAGGCTGGCTGGTCACAAAGATACGCCTGCCTCTGCTTCCCAAGTGCTGGGATTAAAGGTGTGCACCTGGCAGTATCTTTTAAATCCTTTGTATTTTCACTGGTAACTGGAACCTAGAGCACACTTATATAATTGCAAATTTTGTATACTGGATTGTACGTAATGATTGAGTTTCCCATTTAATGCTTGTTGATGCACTGTGGCACAGTTGTTATCTTTTACAGGATAAATAAATGTATATAACTGCATAAAATCTCTTCTAGAGTTGTCCATAACTATTTGAGTGAAACACCATTTAAAGAATACCAAGACAGTTCATATTTTTCTCAGTTTTTACAATGGAAATGGCTGGAAAGGTAGGTTTTAATTTAATACTCAATAAAAACAAATAGTAACTTCTCATAATGCATACTGATGTCTATCATAATACTGGAAATTTTGAGTTGCATGTGTTATTTTTACACAGAAATTTATAGGTATACTGGTACACAATTTCTTCCAAGTCAGTGGACCCTGTTTTCTCTCTTTAAAATGGCAGTTAGCTCCTTGACTTTATACAGTGCAGTGGTTGAGACTGCAGTCTAGGCCTCTGCTCAGACCTTTTCAAGCAAGTGACTTCACTGCTATGAGCTTTGGGTCCTCATTCTGTGGAGACTTACAGACCTCACACTTCTGGACTACTGCTGGAGGTGCATGTACAGTGCTTGGCCCAATGTTTGGTGCACAAGAGAAGTGCGGCAAAAGTGCGCTGCTGTTCATCCTGTTGTGGTGACTATCTCTAAATGATTACTGATGAAATTTCTAATTATAGTTGACTTCTTTGTCTTCCTTTTTTCTTTTCAATTTATTTTGATTTTATGTGTATGTGTGTTTTGCCTGCCTCTATGTAAGTGCACCCAGGTTGTTTGTAAGAGCAGCCAGTGCTCTTAACCTCTGAGCCATCTCTCTAGTCCTGACTTTACTTTTCTTTTTTTTCTTTTTGGTCTTTTTGAGACAGGGTTTCCCTGTAGCCCCAGCTGTCCTGGAACTCACTATGTAGACCTGGCTGGCCTTGAACTCACAGAGATCCGCCTGCCTCTGCCTCCCTCTCCCTCCCGAGTGCTGGGATTAAAGGCATGCGCCACCACGCCCCGCAGCAACTTTACTTTTCTTAAGACAAGGTTTCATTATGTAGCCTTGGCTGACCTGAGACTTGCTATGTAGACCAAGCTGGCCTTGAACTCACAGAGATCCACCAGCCTCTGCCTCCCAAGTGCTGGGATTAAAGGCATGCACTACCACACCTGGCACATAATCCTTTTAGGAGGTTACTTAACCATATTTGACTTCCTTTCCTTAAAGGAAAGTGTTATGTGATTTTCTTCAGCAGCCTTTTTGATAGGTTGAGAAGAATGCCAAAGGCTTTGTCATGAGCTCTAAGCATGAATATTTCCTAGTGTGGGGCCTGCTTGCAGATTTATCTTATATTAGAGAGGATAGTTGGGCTGTTAGGCCTTTTTGTCAGTGTTGGGAGCTGTCCCACTAGAGAGAGTTCCTTGAGCACAGATACCTTGTCCCACACATTCTCTGAGCATATGGGGCAATAAACAGAGCTAACATCATTGCTAGGTAAGTTTTTCTCTTTTTTTAAATAACAGTGCAGGGGCTGGAGAAATGGTTCAGAGATTAAGAGCATTGGCAGCTCTTACAGAGGATCCTGGTTTGATTCTCAGCACCCATACGGTGGCTAGCAACCATCCTAACTCCAGTTCCAGGGGATCCAATGCCCTCTTCTAACCTCCACGGGCATTGCACAACACAAGTGCACTTATATACATGCAACCAATACACTCATACACATTTAAAAAATAAAAGTAAAGCCGGGCGTGGTGGCGCACACCTGTAGTCCCAGCACTTGGGAGGCCAAGGCAGGCAGATCTCTGTGAGTTCAAGGCCAGCCTGTTTTACATAGTGAGTTCCGGGACAGCTGGGGCTACAGGGAGACCCTACATCAAAAAGAAAAAAATTAATTAAATAAATAAATAAAATAGTTTTAAAGTAATAATTAAAATAGTGTAATGTAAGACCTGAAACAACTTTTTTTTTTTTTTGGTTAGGCGCCCAGTAACAAAGAAAATGTTTAGATATTTCAGAGTTCTAGGGAAAGGTGGATTTGGAGAGGTGAGTAACCTGTGGCAGTCATTCTGTTCTAGACAGAAAGGCAGCAGGTCATCAGAAGACTTGAATTTCAGGTAACGTATCAACTTTGCCAGTATATTGCATTTATTGCCTTATTGTGCATTTTGAGAATAATTTTAGAACTTGGAGCAAAGGCACTTTGCTTTAAGCATTCCAAACAAAACCTCTTATCTTCATGATTTTTACCTTCTACTTGCCATTCTGACAATCTTTTTTCCCATGTTTGATGTACAAGTTTAGCTTGTCTAGATTGAAAGATTATGTGAAATTTCTGTTTAGGACTAGACCTAAAACTTAGGTTGCATAGAGTATTTATTTTTAAAGAGTTGACATCTCTGTAAATTATCTTAGTCGGTCCCAAATTTCTGGAGTCAAGAGCTACTACCTCAGGCTCCAGATTGCTGGAACTACAAGTACATGCCACTGTACTTGGCAGAGTCCATGATCAAATTGCTTCTTTAACTCACCAGTATTTGGATATATATGTCCTAGTACCTACAGTAAAACGAGTTCAAAAGCTGGGTATGAGCCAGGCATGGTGGCACATGCCTTTAATCCCAGCACTCAGGAGGCAGAGGCTGGATGATCTCTGTGAGATCAAGGTCAGCCTGGTCTGCATAGGGAGTTCCAGGCCAGCTGGGGCTACAGGGAGACCCTGTGTTAAACAAATAAGCAAACAAAAAACAAGAGGGGAAAAAAAAAATAACCAGAAAAATGCAAAAAGGTATTCAGGGCCTTGTGTGATTAGTGCATTCCTGTAGCTGAGAAGTTGAGTAAAGAGCTCTGTGAGTTCAAGGCCAGCCTGGTCTACATAGCGAAGTCAAGGCCAGCTGAGGCTACAGGGAGACCCTGTCTCAAAAAGACCAAAAAATGGGCTGGAGAGATGGCTCAGTGGTTAAGAACACTGGCTGTTCTTATAGAAGACCCGGATTCAAATCCCAGCACCCACATGGCAGCTAACAGTTGTCTGTAACTCCAGTTCCAGGGGATCTGAAGCCCTCTTCTGTCCTCTGTGGGCATTGCACAACATGGGTACATTACATATGTGCAGGCAATACATCCATACAGATTAAAAAGAAAAAAAAAGGGCTGGGCATGGTAGTACACGCCTTTAATCCCAGCACTCGGGAGGCAGAGGCAGGCGGATCTCTGTGAGTTCAAGGCCAGCCTGGTCTACATAGTGAGTTCCAGGACAGCTGGCAAGCTACAGGGGGACCCTGCCTCAAAAAGACAAAAAAAAAAAAAAAAAAAAAAAAAAAAAGACCAAAAAATATATATATTAAAAATGTGTTAATTTAGAAAACCCTAGAGAAACTTCCTACAGTTGCATGAAAGATGGACTTTAAATATGATGACTGTCCTTGATAGAGACCACTGTAGTAGGTAGGTTGAGAATAGCACACACCTCTGTTGGGGTAATTTAAAGAGCAGTTAATCTCTCCATTCATTATCTGGAATGATCATGTTTAGCCTATGAATTTATAAGGCCCCATGAGCAAGCCAGGTGAGCTACTGGGAGCTAACACCATCTTTAAATCAGAAGTGGGTTACATTGCTCAGGTGTGATTTAAATCACATATGCTCTCAAATTCTACTTTAAAGGAAAAGCAAAAACCATCAGCATTACCTCAAAATTAATTTAGAAAGCCAACTCCAGAGGTACTGCACTAAAGTAAGTGATTTATTTTTGTTTTATGTGTACAAGTGTTTTGCCTGCATGCATTTACATGCACCACATGTGTCCCTGATGCCCTCAGAGGCCAGAAGAGGACATCGGATCCCCCAGAGCTGGAGTTAAGGACAGTTGTTAGCTGCCATGTGGATGCTAGAAACCGTATCCAGGTCCCCTGGCAGAGGACCAGTGCTCTTAACTGCTGAGCAGCCTCTCCAGATACCCACCCACCCACTGACCTTTTGATATGATGGGAAGTGGACCACCATCACCAGAGTCATCACTTCAGTGCTGGTGGTATTTCTCTGACACAGTTCTGGAGACCTGTAGGATAATATGGTCTAGTTCCTTGAATGCCTGTAAACCCTTCGTATAGATAGTCTGCACCAAGCCCAACTTGTGCCTCTGTTCAGCTCCTGTTGTTATATCCTTCATGGTCTCCAGTTTCAAAGATTGAGATTCTGGCAAGGAGCAGTGGAAAGGAAGTTTTAGGGAGCCCGGTCTCATGTCCATAACTCCAGTTCCACAGGACCTGACACCCTCTTCTGTCCTCTGCAGGCACTGCGTGACAGAGGTACATTTACACACATGTAGGCATGATACTCATACACATAAAATAAAAATAAACAATGAAATATCTCAAAAAGAAGTTGTTTTGGATATGCTTTTTAAGTGCTCTAAAGTCAATCATCAGTTTCCTGAGGCAAGCTCACAGGAAAGGAATTGAATTCATGACTGGTTCAGAAGGTAGGTAGTGCAGTGTGCTGGAGCACATACTTCAGGGCTGGGAAAGCTCAGGTCAGGTCCTGCCTGCCCTTTCCAGGCATGCAATCTTGCTGACTCACCATCTTGACTTCACCCTTGGCAGGAGAATGATGATTCCTGCTTTAGCTTCCCGAGGACCTGGGACCACTGTGCCTCACCTTGAACTTTTAATTTAAAAAATCAGAATCTTTTTAAAAAAATATTTTATTATTTTTATTTTATGTGTATGTGTGTATTGCCTGCGTGTAGGTAAGTGCACCCATGTCGTGCAATGCCCTCAAAGGACAGAAGAAGCTGTTGGATCCCCTGGAACTGGAGTTTCAGACAGTTGTTAGCTGCCATGTGGGTGCTGGGATTCGAACCTGGGTCTTCTGCAAGAACAACCAGTATTCTTAACCACTGATCCATCTCTCCAGCCCCTTTTAAATTTCATGTTCATAAACTTTTGCTTTTATAAAAAGCTAACAACATGAGCCTGGAGAGATAGCTTAGTAGGTAAGAGCACTAACTGCTCTTGCAGAGGACCCAGGTTCAGTTTCCAGCACCCACATGACAGGTAACAACCATCCATCATAACTCCAGTTCCAAGGGATCTGATGCCCTCTTCTGATCTCCGTGGGCATTGCACAACACTGGTGCACTACTCATAGCTATAAAATAAAAATAAAATATTTTTTAAAAAGCTGAAGACATTATCAGGACCTACTTAGGTAGACTCTTCATAATCACATGTGAATTATGTGTTGGTAAAGCCCACTGCTTCATTCACTTGCTTTTTAGCAGCCCCATTGGCGAGAAACTGGGAGTCAGGAAGAGCAAGCTCAGAACTTCCAGTTGGCAACACACTAGTGACCTTGACTGACCAGATGCTATCTCTGGTCTTTACCAGGAAGATTGTCATAGAGAAAGCAGTTCTCTTCATGTGACCTAAGAATGTCAAGTTCAAGTGCATATAAACCTTTTTCCCCTTAAACTAGGTTTTTGCCTGTCAAGTACGAGCTACAGGAAAAGTGTATGCCTGCAAAAAGCTAGAAAAAAAAAGAATAAAGAAGAGGAGAGGTGAGGCTATGGCTCTGAATGAAAAAGAATCTTAGAGACATTGCATAGTGGGTTTGCAGTAAGTATCTTGTCTCAGTCGCTGTACTGGTGGCTTTTCTTCTGCTGTGATCCAGTGCCCGTCTAAAGCACTGTGGAAGGTAGGAAGGGCTTGTTTTGACTCCCAGTTAAGGAAGGGATGTAGTCCATCATGGCAGGCAGGGCGTGGCAGCAAGAATGCAAGATGGCTGGTCACACTGCATCCTCCATTAGAGCAGTGAGTACTGCTGACAGCTTCCTTTCTCCTTTTATTCAGCATGGGAGCCCGTCCTGTGGGATGATGCCTCCCGTGTTCAGGGTAGGTCTTCCTGCTCAGTTAAACCTTTCTGAGAACACCCTTGCAGACACAGAAGTATGTTTCCTAGGTGATTCTAAATCCAGTTGAGTTTACAAGACTTACCCATCACAGTCTTCTCTTGTATATTGCTTGATTCACAGCAGTTTGTTAGCAGGGCTTTGTAAACTCTCAAGCTGTGTTCTAATGTGCTAGGTTTCTTCACTGAGTTTCTGTGGGGTTTTGCTGCCTCCTGTTGAAAATAATTTTATTTTTTAGTGACAGCCCTCTTATTTTCAGTAAGCATAGGGCAGTACTCTTCCTGCTGCTCATTTGTGACTTGCTGTCAGTCTATTGCTGCCCACCAACCCATGCCATCAGGTTCTCTTCACACTTTGGGAATTTCTAATGAGTGCTCTCTTCTCCCCTTTTGATTCCCGAGCTCACATGCTGGTATTCTCCAGTTGTCTGCTCTGGCCAGTCAGCATGGTGACTTTGATGTGCTTGAAGGGTCTTTCTCTAGCCTTCTGAAGTGGACTTCCTCTTTGGCCTGTCTCTCTTCTTTGATTTTTGTTCAGCACCTGGTGTGCCTACCACAACTGAACCCTCAGCTACCCTATCCCAGTTGTAGAATCCCTCAAGTTTCTCCCTCCCTACCCCAGGTAAGAACTGGAAGTAGTGACCTGGTGTGAATCAGAGGGGTGATTCCAGGTTTTAGCTCCTCCTATCTAGTTACGTATTTCCTGGAGTCATTTCAGTAGCCACAAGGAAAGCTTTTGATAAAATTCAGAGCCTGTTTAAGAGCGCTAAGCAAACTAGGTTTACAAGGGAAGTTAAAATCTCCAGCAGAGCTCCTTCAATGACTAGGACACCTGCTGTCACCATCTGTACTTAACACTGTATTGGAGATTCTAATCAGTGCAACAAAATAAGGGGATAGGGATTAAAGTTAAGTGGATTAGAGTTAGAGAAAGAAGTAAAGGAGGTCCCTTTTTTATTTTTTATTTTTTGGTCTTTTGAGACAGGGTCCCAGCTGGCCTGGAACTCACTATATAGACCAAGCTGGCCTCAAAACTCACAGAGAGCCTGCCTCTGACTGCTGGGATTAAGAGCATGCACCAGTACTGCTGTCCCTTACTTTCACAACATGAGTGTATGTGGAGACAATTCTAGCCTTTCTAGGTAACCAAACAATCACAAAATGGGAACCTGGAGTTTGCCATATTTTCACTAAGGTAGCTAGCTGGCCAGTGAGCCCCAGCAATCCTTCTGTTTCCCCCTGTTTTTAAGCATATCAAGAGCCATCATAATCTAAGCAAAAGTCTTATAAAATATTCATACCTTCTACACTGAGAACCGTAATATGCTGTTATGAGAAATTAAAGAATCAGCCGGGCGTGGTGGCCTTTAATCCCAGCATTCTGGAGGCAGAGGCTGGCTGATCTCTGTGAGTCTGAGGCCAGCCTGGTCTACATAGTGAGTTTCAGACAGCTAGGGCTACAGGGAGACCCTGTCCTAAAAAGACCAAAAGAAAAAAAAAAAAAAAAAAAAAAAAACCCCCAAAAAAAAAAAGAACGCCTAAATACAGGGATCTCATGTTCCTAGACTAGATGATTCAGTATTGTGAAGATGCTGGTTCTTCCTAGTTGATCTAGAGATTAAATGAGTTAAGCATAATTATCGCCAAAATCACAACAGGGTGTGTGTGGGGGAGAGAGAGAGAGTGTTGTTATACAAGACCATAGAAAGGTGGGCAAAAAAACGTGATCAGGGTCTGGGATGTAGCTCTGTGGTAGAGCATTTGCCTGTGTGAGGCAATACATTCAGTGAGGAAGAGGAGGAGAAAGAAAAGGAGCAGGAAGAGGAAGAATATTATGATTATTGTTTTTGGGCAGTTGCACCTGTAGCTCCAACTACTTGCAAGACAGGCAGGAGGATCACATGATCCTAGGTGCTCAAGGCCAGTCTGGGTAAAATAGTGAAACCTCATCTATGGATCTCTGTGAGTTCCAGGCCAGCCTGGTCTACATAGTGAGTTCCAGAACAGCTGGGGCTACAGGGAGACCCTATCTCAAAAAGACAAAAACAAAAACAAAAACAAAACAAAACAAAAAGCAAAACAAGGGCTGCAGAGATGGCTCAGCAGTTAAGAACTCTTGATGTTCTTTCAGAGGAACTAGGTTCAATTCCCAGCACTCACATGGCAGCTAACAACTGTCCATAACTCCAGTTCCAGGGGATCTGACACCCTCTTCTGACCTCTGCAGGCATTGCATGACACAGGTGCAATTACATAAATGCATGCAAGACACATATCATATAAATAAATTTAAAAAATTTTCTTTGTTCTTTTCATTTATTTTCCTATTCTATTCTATTCTTTTTTTTTTTTTTTTTTTTTTTTTTTTTTTTTTTTCGTCTCCCTGTAGCTCGAGCTGGCCTAGAACTCACTATGTAGATCAGATGGCCTTGAACACACAGAGATCTGCTTGCCTCTGCCTCCCAAGTCCTGGAACTAAAGACTTTCACCACCATGCCCAGCATAAATAAAATATTTTAAAAGCTAGAGAGAAGACTCAGTGGTTAAGAGCCCTGGTTGCTCTTGCAGAGGACCTGGGTTCCATTCCCGGCACCCACATGGCAGCTAACAACCATCTCTTAACTCCAGTTCCAGGGGAATCTGACACTTCCTTTATGGTCATTGCAGGGCATGGATGCACTTACATATGTGCAGTAGATCCATACATACAAGAAATAAAATATTTTTTAAAAAGCAAAATGAGGGGCTGGAGAGATGGCTCGGTGGTTAAGAGCACTGACTGCTCTTGCAGAGGACCCAGGTTTGATTCCCAGCACCCACATGGTGACTACAAACTGTCCTTTAACTCCACTTCCAGGGAATCTGACACTTTCTGACCTCCAAGGCATTGTATGACACCGGTGCACTCACATACATGCAGGTAATACACACATACACATAAAATGAAAAAATATATATATATTTTTGGGGGGGTGTTTTTGAGACAGGGTCTCCCTGTAGCTCCAGCTGGCCTGGATTTGCTATGGAGACCAGGCTGGCCTCGAACTCACAGAGATCCGCCTACCTCTGCCTCCTGAGTTTTGGATTAAAGGCATGTGCCACCACGACCAGGTAAAAAAATATTTTTTAAAAAACAAAATGAGCCAGGCGTGGTGGCGCATGCCTTTAATCCCAGACTTGGGAGACAGATGCAGGCAGATCTCTGAGTTTGAGGCCAGCCTGGTCTACATAGTGAGTTCCAGGACAGCTGGGGCTACAGGTCTCAAAAAGACCAAAAAAAAAACAAACAACAACAACAAAAAACCCCAAAATGAAGCTGGGCATGGTGGCGCACGCCTGTAGTCCCAACACTTGGGAGGCAGAGGCAGGCAGATCTCTGTGAGTTCAAGGCCAGCCTGGTCTACACAGTGAGGACAGCTGGGGCCACAGGGAGACCCTGCTTCAAAAAGACCAAAAAAACCCCAAAATGAAACAAAAAGGTCAAAACTTAAACAGACATTTCATAAAAGAAGTTCTAAATGACTATTAAGTGTATGGAAAAGTATGAGGCGTGTTCACTAAAATCAATTAAAACGTCAAGGCTAGCCTCAGCTATGTAGTTTGAAAGCCAGCCTAGGCTACATAACCAAGGATTGGGCCTGTAGCTGAGTACCACAAAAATAAAACAACAGAACTTCACGATTTGAAGCCATTATACTCTGATCAACCCTACTCAAACTACAACGATGAACACCACCGAAGAGTGGAGGAGTATGGAATAGTGAGGCCTTTTCTGCGATGCTGGTTGGGTATGAATGCTGAATACAGATACTCCAGAAGTTCTGAATGTCAGTTTTGCACAGTGAGATCATACCATGGAGAATTCCTGACCCAAGTACTCAAAGTTAGTTATACAGAGACAGTTCTCTCCTTTCTATAGAGTTACAGTGAGATCTTTGCAAGGTAAGGATCCAGGAGGCATATGATGTATGGTGTATCTATCTCTGAAGCACTCAGTGTTTGGGTGTTCTGCTTATAAATAGAAGATAATTTGGGTAATTGTTGGCAAATAGAGTAAGTCAGCAATGAAAAAGCAGTTTTTGTGTGTGTTGTTTTTCATGATGATTTGTCCTTAGGTTAGTTTAGCCTACACTTTTGAAACTAAAGATGCCTTGTGTTTGGTGCTAACCATCATGAATGGAGGGGATTTGAAGTTCCACATTTACAACCTGGGTAACCCTGGCTTTGAGGAGCAGAGAGCTGTGTTCTATGCTGCAGAGCTGTGCTGTGGCTTGGAAGATTTACAGAAGGAAAGAATTGTATACAGGTAAGAGCGGTGCTAGCTGAGGGAGCCGTGAGTGCTGGGACTTGTTCACCTGAGCCTGCTTTTCAGGCCCTCTGGCTCACACTGGCTGTCACAGGCTGGGAAGTGGCAAGCAGAGAAGGCCTGGGTGGCATTTCAGGGGGTGGCCCTGTACTGTATGAAACAGCCCTTCAGAAGTGTGCTGTAGTTTTCTTCTTAGTTTCTCTTTAATCTCTAAGAAGTTTTCCTTTTGAAGCAGAACTTTTTTCCTTAAGCTGATCACATAAAGGCATTGCTATTCGTGTAAGCATGAAAAACCTGTTTTGAAAATTCTAGGATATTTGACAGCTCTGATAAGGACAGTCATGATATTCTAAGAAAATATCAGAATCAAGTATATTAAAAAATGGTTTCTTGCCGGGCATGGTGGCGCACGCCTTTAATCACAGCACTCGGGAGGCAGAGGCAGGTGGATCTCTGTGAGTTCAAGGCCAGCCTGGTCTACATAGTGAGTTTCAGGACAGTTGGGGCTACAGATGTGTATGCATGTATTGAGACCCCCCCCAAAAAAGGTTTCTTTTTCTTTTCATCTTAGAATTCATTAAGAAAATTGAATTAAGCTTAATGGTTAGAATTAACTTTTCAGCATATTTAGTTTTTGAAAACAGTTCCTCAACCTATCCTTTTTTATATATATTTTATTAATTATTTTTTTTATGTGTATGCATGTATTGCCTGCATGTTGGTAAGTGCACCCATGTCATGAAATGCCTGCGGAGGACAGAAAAGGCTATCGAATTCCCTGGAACTGGAGTTACGGACAGTTGTTAGCTGCCATGTGGGTGCTGGGATTTGAACCTGGGTCTTCTGCAACAACATTGAGTGTTCTTAACCATTGAGCCATCTGTCCAGCCCCTCAACCTACCCTTAAATATTGGGTTTGTATACTGTGACTCTCACTTTGGTCGCCCTTTTGTTTTTTCTTCTATAGGTTCTCCTGCCACTTACTTGCAAATCAATCCCTAATAGAAATTTCTTTTTTTCATTCTTCTTTTAAAAAAAAGTCTCTGTGGGGCTGGAGCAATGGCTCAGTGGTTAAGAGCACTGACTGCTTCGCAGAGGACCTGGGTTCGATTCCCAGCACCCACATGGTGGCTGTGAACCATCCTTAACTCCAGTTTTAGGGGCATCCGAAGCCCTCTTCTGACCTCCGCAGCATTGCACGACATGAGTGCACTCACATACATGCAGGCAATACACTTATACACATAAAATAAAAATAATAAAATATTAAAGTCTAGGTGTGTATGTGTATGGGGGGGAACATGTGTTTATGGCAGCACATGTATGGAGGTCTGAGAACATCCTTGGGTGTCTGGCCTTGTCTTCCTTGGGTCTGTCTCTTGTTTGAAATGGGTCCTGTTGTTTGCAACTGTGTATGCCCAGCTAGCTGGCCTGTGAGCTTCTGGGGACTCTCTTGTTTCTGTCTTCAGTATTGCGGTAGTAACAGATATAAACTATGGGTTCTGGGGATTCAAACTTGGGTCCTCATACTTGCATAGTGTCCTAGTTTATTCTTCATTGCTGTGACAAAATACTCTGACCACTACCAACTTGGGGAGGAAAGGGTTTATTCAGCTTCCATCTCCCAGGTCACAGTTCATCGGGGAGCCCAAGGTAGGAACTCGTGGCAGGAACCTGGAGGCAGGAGCTGGAGCACAGGCCATGGAGGAACTCTGCTTACGGCTTTCTCCCCTGGCCCCCGCTCAGCCTGCTTTCTTATGCAACACAGGCCCACCTGCCCAGGGGTGGCACCACCCACAGTGGGCTTGGCCCTCCCACATCACTCATCAAGAAGATGCCCCTCAGAAATGGCCAGGCCAGTCCAATAGAGGAAATTCCCCAATTGAGGCTCCCTCAACTCAGGTGTGTCAAGTTGACACTAAAGCTATCCAGCACACATAGTAAGTGCTTTTACCAACTGAGACATCTCCCTAGCCTCCTAATGTGAATTCTAACCTTGTTCTTTTTTCATAAATTCCTGTACATCTTTTACCTCATCTTCCCCATTCAGCTGATTACCACTTTACTTCTGAATATCGCCATCATTCTGTATTTTCCATGGTGAGTGGCTTGGTCTCTGTCTTTCTCTTACAAGCTGGTTGGCAGACTTGACCTGGTCTCCATACTGTCTGTCTTGTCCCAGTGTTTGCTGCAGAAGACTGTGGCAAGGCATGTCTGAATACAGATCTGATCCAGTTGTGTCATTCTTCTTAGCCAGTCTTTCATGTTCCTTTGCGATATGGCTCCCCACTTGCTCACTCCTAGCCTTGTGTTCTTGCTCACTCCTAGCCCTTGTTATATTTTTGGTTTCTAGAACTTCTCACCTGTCTTCACAACTCTAACCTTGTTAATGTGTTCCTCTGTGAATACTTCTTTACTGCAAACTCTCTTCCTGTTGGTATGAGGACCTCTGCTCATCTTTTTCTGAGGATTCCAAGGTAGCTTTTCCTTCTTGGCAGCATGATTGTGGCCCCACCAACATCCCCATGGTACACTGAAGAGCAATGCCTCATCTAGAGTTGGTCACAGGAGACTTCAAGCTCTTGGAAGTTCTTGATCTTGTTCATAATATTCTGATGGATCTTCAATTTTTGTTCACCTTACAGATCTTATTATACCCAAGTAAGTATCTCCTAGAGACCAGACACCACCATGGAGGTGGGGTTTACCTTTAGTCATTGAGCAAGGGATAGATTGCTGCCCTGGCCATAAGTCTCTGAGAGACAGAGATGGTGAGATCTGAATTGAGAATGCCTTGTTCTCTGTTACTTAGAGGTGGAAGTCTGGTGGCTGAACTTGTTTGCCTTCAACCTTAACCTGAATTCTCAGTTGGCTCTCAGAATATCATTTCCTTTGTCCTTTAACTTCGGGTACCTCCTTGTCATCCAGGTAGAGCCATAGAGAAGGTCTGGTTGGTGCACTCTGGGAGTGGGATCATTTTCCCTTCCTCTGTATCTATCCCAGAATGTTTTATGAATGAATTAATAAATGAATGATGGCTTTTTTTTTAGAAGAAGAAGCATTTCATTACAGCTTTAACATACTCATTAACAGTTTCCAGAGCAAAGATACATCTCTTTCAAAAGTGGCTATAAAATTTTTAGGTTCACTGTTGAATTAATACAGTTGTACAATATTGAACTCAGTGTAAGCCCTGTAAGACGTAAAATTGAATGAGGTTTTTTTTATTTTTGTTTTTTGTCTTTTTGAGACAGGATCTCCCTGGAGCTCCAGCTGTCCTGGAACTTACCATGTGGACCAGGCTGGCCTTGAGCTCACAAAGATCCGCCTGCCTCTGTGTGAATGAGTTTTTAACCTTTAAAAAAGATATCCAGAGCCGGGCGTAGTGGCACACGCCTTTAATCCCAGCACTCAGGAGGCAGAGAGATCTCTGTGAGTTCAAGGCCAGCCTGGTCTATATAGTGAG